AGACGAATCCACCCATTCCGCTTCTCACTTAGTGTTATCGCCCCATCTTCCTACTAACCGTTATTTTTTAACAACTGCAATTTGTTACACGTTACGTGTTCAGTCATTTCATACGTCTTTATTTGAGCTCCATAATGTCTGCCGACTAATACAAATTATGAAAGTCCTCATTATGAAATATTTTTGCCACCTTTTATTCTCGTTTCTTAGGGCAGAATGTTTTCTTCAGCATCCAGTTTTCATTCATATTCAGTTTATATGCTTTTCTTAAGGCGACAGACCAAGTTTCACACTCATATTAAGCAAAAGCTAAAACTATAGGTTTTTTTATATTTTAAATGACAGCTCCGTGATTATGTACATCATATATAAATCGTAAGGATGTTCGTGTACTTGTTGACACGTCAGTGGTCGCCCAGAGTGCGGGAGTCCTTGTTTCCTATACTCACTGTTGACACTCCGATATTTTCTTTCCTGTACGTACGTTTTTCTGCCCCTTTCTCTGTTAGTGGTTCTCTTCGATTCTTTCACATCATATCAGTATGCCAGGCAGGCATATGTGTATTTTCACTTTACATGGCTATGTGCATTAAGATAACAGGCAGGACATTAACATAAAAGTGGGTCCAAACTTATAAACATTGCCGTACCCTTGGCGACACAGACAGCAAGAAAATAAAACTTAAAATTACGCATACAAAACGTAGTTCCTGGAGATATCGTAATCCGACAAAAACACACATCATTATTATGTATGCAGTTAAATTTAAATACGATTTTATTAGCATTTTCGATGGATATCGATTGATTCTTCAGTCATCGAAGTCTGCAGTCGTGTGTGCCATGACTAATGGATTCATATTTTGTGCGGTCGTGACTTAATGATGCATTAAGACCGCTGGTGAGAAGCTGGTGTCTTCACTGCTTTCTCGTTTATTAAGTGTTTAATATCTATTTATAACATTCAGTACGAGTGTGTTAAAGCTGAGAGTTTGCCTCATTAAAATTATATATCTGTGTGTTATGCAGTTTGAAATCGACTCAGCTACTTTCTCAAAGTAAGATATTATTCTACAAATATGCACAGAAATTTATTACGTATGCACAAACAGTCCACATTTCAACAGGCCAACCGCACTGTGTTGTTTTTATTAAGGAGCAGTTGACTGGTTGAAAGTGGGTGACAAGTTGTTTCAACGTTTAAAGACTCCATAGACTTTCATCCGTTTTATTTATTTTTGTATGCATGTATTAGGCTTACAATGTTGATGTGTTTCTCTCGGAATGTTATTGTTACAAAAACTGGCTGCATTATGGTAATGGATATGCTGTTCTAAAATTATGTAAACAGAACACGTGCGGAGATTGAGGTTATGTTGCCTTTGCTTTCCATTGTTTCCTGAAGAGCCGATGTGAACAAGAGGTCGCTTTATCTGCTGCTGCCATCTCCGCTCTTATGTTCTTTCACTCTTAGCTGCCTTGGCTTGTTTTCTGGGCTCTCTGGCTACTAGTTGTCATGCCAGCACAACAAACAGATTCCATATCAACTTTTTCCCGCACTGCATTCCGCCTCGTCTGGTATCGTCTGTGGTCAGTTGCTGGAGCTCATTCAGATGCAAAGCATGCTGGGAAAGTACGGGCTGTTGTTCTCTATTGCTTGGCACGTGTTTAATAAATTTTTTGTCCTATTCCATCTTATGTGTCCTCATGTTATCCTATTCCATTTCCCATTTCATCATTGTCAAAAGGGCGTGCTTGTGAGGACGTTTATTTTATTTGTGCTTCGACCTTCGCATTCTTTGTATTTTCGTCTTCATAACTTTTGTTATTTTCTCATGGATTTCTTTTATCTTATTTTACTGTCTGTTGTGATGTATTGTTGATTTTAAGTTGTTTGTTTTCATATTCAAAAAGACATGTTTGGTCATGCATTGAGTTTCTAATAAAAGAAGCAAATAATATTGTGTGGTGCCTTTTACAATTTTCCATAGATAGCTGTCCCATTTTCTTCAAATACAGATCGAATGGAGGCCATATTAATTTCGTGGCTCACTGTCCTCATTTGACAATACTTTATTTTTTCTTAGTCAATCCTCTCGTACTCTCAGGTGTCCAGGTTTCTTTCCCTTTTAATCTATTTAGACATTTGGTAGGGCTCCTTGGACGAGTGATCAGCCCATCGCTGCACACAGGACAGCACAACACAAAGATGTGGACAAACATCCATGCCTTGAGTGTGATTCGAACCCACGGTCTCAGTGTTCAAGAGCTTAAGGCCCACGCCTCAGACTACGTGGCCACTGTGACCGGCCCATTTGACAATACTATGGGTCGTAAATATGTCCTTTGCCTATCGTTGGTTCTGCACAGTAAGGAATTCACTTGCTATTTGAAAGCCCTGTAAGAAACTCGCAAACATTAAACACACTGTATTATCGCACAGATTGTACGCAATTGTTTTATGCCAGTCGAACGTTTCATTGTTTGTTGTGGAGGAAAATTAAAATGAGAAGCCTGGAGTTGTGTTTCACGAAAATGTTCGGCAGAGGAAAAGCGTTTCATCTCCACTCTTTGACAATGAATTTCTAGGCTTCTACTTATCAAAGTACCTCCGACTCTCAGACGATGTTTGCCACCTGGAAATCACTGGTGTCAACCATAAATAAATCTCATGAACTTGTAGGCTTGTGGAAACAGTGACTTCGTTTGAATTACTCACAGGCCCGAACTAGACATCGACCACGCTGGCAAACAGATGAATTCAGTCAGCTGTAATAACAACTCTCACCACAGGTATTTGGCAAGAATGCCCTAGTTTCAGATGGCTCTTTGTGTAATTAGATCACATGTTACGGAAATGAAAGATTATCTAGCAAGATGGTTTCATCTGAGGCCAACTCCAGACCGTTATTTAACGACTCTGTTAAATACCAAGTTCGTTTAAATAAAAAGTGAAAGGTGGCTGGTGAACTGAAATCTATTCGCTGTTGGTGTGGTGCATTTAGGACTGCGAAAGATCCTTGCACAACGATCAGGTATTGTTACTTTAAAACCAGTTTATTCGAACGGAAAATAAAACACTGTCTTCCCTTGGTACTGTTCTATCACATTCAGATCGAAAATTTTGTTATTAAAACACGCTGTTAAAATATTTTTCTGGTGTCATTCTGCGTCAGTTAGGAGCAGAAATACAACTTTTCAGAGACATTCTTTGTCTCCGCGATCGGGAAATGATAATAATATTGGGCTTCTTCTCTGACTTGAAGTCTCAGAGCATATTATTACTTTTAGTTGCTATGAAAGATTTAAATTGTGCATTTAAAGAATGTTTCCGAACGTTATAACACGTATAAATTAAAAAAGAAGAATATTTTTTCGTGGATTGAAGGTAGAATTATAAAACCTTAAATTCTGGAATTATCTGAGGGGGTAGAAATGATTTATCATGTGTAGGATTAGGTTTTCACGGTGGTGAGTATGACGTTTCAGAGGTCCTTGTTGCGATGCCATGATTATGGAGACAGCAAGGACCTCTGAAACGTCTGTAAACTTCTACCAGACTACACGGCGCAACAACCCAGAAGACAGTCATCTTCGATTTATCATTTACGTTAAATGACTTTAACAGTTGATGCGGCCTAGTTAAAGACTATCGACGAAACGATTAAGGCTGGGAGAAGATTGTACACATACAAGTGTTGTCCCTCATTAAGAGTTCAATATCTGGATTATTTTGTTTGCGAAACTCACAGGAGGTCAAGAAACCAGTGACACGGTTTTGACAAATTAAGTGCTAGAAGAGAATCCCACAGAGGTCCACTGTTCTCTGTCCGCGGCGTTTGGAAACAAAATATTTAGACTAAGAGCTGAAAAACATATGGCACGAAGAGCAGTTCTGTTCAGGCAAATGGTCTTAGCACATTTATCTGTTGATCATCTCCTTATGGCGAGCAGTCAGTAGTGTAAGAAAACCAGAAGTTGAACAAACGACTCCAGTTCGTTTTACGTTCTCTGTATTTTTTCTTGTGATTTGTTCTTTGCGTGTTTTATATTTAGATGACTGTCAGAAGATGAAAGTCTTCTGGGCTATGGGCCGTGTAGTCTCGTAGTTGACCGACGTTTCAGAGGTGCTTACTGCCTCCATCATTAAGGAGATGATCACTGATCTTTGTGGTTTATCACAATTTTTATTGTCTAATGCCAGGATAGTACCTTCATTCACACCATGATCGTCTTCCAAATCCGTATCTACTTATTTTTCATTACATCTTTCCATTTGATTCCGCGCTATGTAATTTATGGATTGAAGCAATGTTGTTGAATGTTGTAAGATTCCTTCAATCACTGGAAAGACTTTGGAGAAATAACGACGAGAGGCATTTACGCCTTTCGCAAAACTACAAAAATTCAAGATTTAATTCTTTAAAGATGGATATTTTATTGAACAGAACCATGCTCATTTCGTAGAATACAGAGGACAATCCCTTAGAGACTCAAATATTACTCAGGTGTTCGAGGCATTTTCCGATTTTTATGGAGCACGATATTTCATTACCGTATTTAGAAGAGCATGTCAGTGGACCATTGTATCCGGTCCACACCCCTACGCCTTATTCCTTTAAGTTCATTTTAATATTATCCCGTTATCTAGGTCGTCATCTCATCTTAAGATAAAGTTCTAAATATAGGTTTCGTCATATTATGCCGGTGTGAAACCGGATCTGTGACCCTAAAGGGGGAAACATATAGAGGAATGTTGAGGGATGTTTTAGAACAGGGTGCTCAAGACAGCGTTTGGGCCTAAGAAGATTGAAGTAACGAGACGCTGGAGAAAAGCGAATGATGTGAAACTTTATAATTTGTACTGTCTCCAAATATTAGGATGATCATATCAAGGAAGGTGGAAGATTCGTCCAGCATGAGTGGAGTGTAATTATCGATGTATTGCATGTGTTTATCTTTGTAATATTCGCTGATCTAATTAATCTCTTTTTTTTCAGGTCTATCAAGTGGCATACGTCATAGTGAAGTCTGCAATTTCTCCAAGACCTGCGAATTGGATCTTGGAGCGTTCAGTAGATGGCAGCACGTACCGACCATGGCAGTATTACGCTCACAGTGACGATGAGTGCTGGGCGCGGTATGGAATTGAACCCACAAGAGGCAAGCCCTCGTACAAAACTGATTCAGACATCATTTGCACATCCTACTACTCGAAACTGAACCCACTCGAAGGAGGAGAGGTATTGTATCATAGTTCCCTTGATAATACATTAGTAATAACCAGCGCATGTAGTTGTTGTTTAGGCCTACGTATATTCGTTTACAGTGAAAGTTTAATAATCACGTAGGCCCTTCTGCACGGCCAATTTTTAGTACCCGCAGTGCATCAGTAGTTACGATTCATATGCGAGAACGTTCATGAATTGAAATTGTAAGGTGGTAAGTGATAGAACGCTTCAGATTTGTAACGTTAAGCGTACATTTAAAAGAACACATATCCATAAAGAATTAGTACAAGCGACTGCAGAACTATATGTTGTGTGTTGAAGGGCCCAATAGCTTTGATATCAAAAGGTACAAATAGTAATAATAATAATAATAATAATAATAATAATTAATAGGGCTGGACATGGAACTAAATGGAGATATGGGATATGAGAAATGAAAATTGCGCCTTGTAGTCTGGTAGATTTCCACCAACGTTTCAGAGGTCATACTGATATTTTAGTAACGTTTGCTGCTGTTTCTATCAGGACAATCACTCTAACAAGCAACAGACTTGCCGAATGACAGTTGTTGTTAACACTTTTCAGAACTATGTGAATTACCTGTCTGAAGCCAATAACCGTGCAATTTGAAGTTAAATTCGTGCGTGTGTGTGTGATTGCAGGTTCTCACTACTGCGAATTTGAAGATGGCAGCCTTCTGAGATATCGTGCTCTGTATTCTCGTAACAATTTACACGCATTTCAGAGGTGCGTTTTGCATTATCATGGCTATCGCCCTGGTAATGGAAACAGAACTCTCTTCTTATACGTCGCTTACATTTGCGAGACTACACGGCGCAATGTCCCTGAAGGCTGTCACCTTTGGACAGGTATAACTGCCACCAGCGTGTCCAGAAAGTTCTTGGGGGTTTACAACCTCCTTGTAAACACATAGGGCTGTTTCCCCTGGGGTAAAAAGACGGAGTGGAGTTGACCACTGTCTCAGAGTGAATCTTTACTTCCTACCTCCATCCATACATATTTATGACAAGCACAGGGATAACTTTAATGCAAGAGACAAGATTTATTTTATTTATACTTTGTCATTTATGGCCCATTGTAAATGCCGATCAGCATTACCACTGCTGAATGCTGGGGAACGCCTTGGCTTATCGGCAACTTCTCCGACATTCAGGTACTGCTGGTTAACGTTATCTGTATTCTGGCGTGACTTCGAACGGGCTGGGAAAACTCTTACTAACCACATTGGTACTTCAAGATGAGAAAATCCCGCGTTAGTTCGTTTTCCTGTCCAAAGTGAAACATCGCACAACGAAAGAGTACGAAAGGCTATACTTTGAGGTTAATTTAAGAACGGATGTACTGTAATGCTATGAATCACAGTCTGTTTTCGGTCTTCACTCTCAAAGATGCACTTTTCTCCACTCAGACAGACAGTTCAGTAAAAACGTAATAGTTCTATGAAAATGCAGTGTCTTTATCTTTTGATTTCCTAAGTACTTGAAAATGTACGGTAAATGTTTTTCCTGTAATGATCCCCCCTCCCCCGCAACCGTTTTCCTCTCCATCGTAACGATTATAAGTGTCGGGTTATAACAAATCAGTTTCATATAAAATTAGACGAAAAAAGGAACGCAGAAAAACGTTTACCCACGTCACTGTAACGGGAGATTGTCATGGTAATTGACTTCATTGAACAATATGTGTTGAACTGAACTCGCGTTTTCTGGCATCAACATGGCCGCTAACACGACCTGTGATGTGGTTCCCACGCTTCTGGAAAGTTCTCACAGATGACGTGAGAAGGACAGCCACATGTAAGAAGCTTCCAGGTAGCACTAGTGTTGCAGGATGTCATGGCTTGCTTGCTGAGGGGCAGAGAAAGGAAGCAACTTACCTGTCGTCAGACAAGTTTTTAAAAGAAAATTAGGAGAAGTTTTATGCTTCTTCCAAGGTTGTTTATTCAGATGCTTGGTATTTTCACAAAGAAAACTTGCATAGGCTGGACAACTACATTAGTCATTCACTGTTCTGAGATAACCCGGATCTTACGAACAATAGTAACAAATATAAATTAAGAACAGATATTTTTGGGGAAAGTTCTGTGCCTTGCAGTGTTTTTATTCTTACTTACTCTCCATTTTAAAACACATGAAGTTATAGTTTTACCTGTTTTATATGAATGTGAAACCAAGTCTCTTACTTCTATGCAAAAGTGAAAGTCTAGGATGTGGTTGAGAACGAAGTATAGAAAGCTTCGTGGTATGAGACTGTTCAAGGCACCTGAGTGAAGACGGGAGAATAATGGTAAAACGAATCTTTGAGAAACAACAGTTCGGTTGTATAAAAGCAGGCACATTCTTGGCTAAGTGGATAATCATCTGCTGCTGAAAGACCCGGTCCTAGTAATATAGCAATATTTCTCCTTAAATAGTTTAATTATTGTTGTGTATTGTTATGAAAAATAAGATTTCAAGGCATGTTGTTAATTCATCTCATGTCTTTTAAAAAATCAATATATATATATCGAGTAATTAGAAAAGTATTACAGTACTAATGAAAGTCATTTAAAAGATAAAATCTTATATCTGATTTAGTTTCTTAGTTTTATTAATTATACTCACTGCTCATTAAGACGGATCAGAAAGGCTCTGAATACCAGAATTTATAATTTTCCGGTTTAGAGGTTAAGTACTTTTCCTGCAAAAACTTATTAATGAAGTAATAAATGAACAACTGTTTGGTGTAATAGATCCATACATCGCTGGTTGTTGGTCGCCCTGGAGCAAACGAGTCAAGCACTGAGTTACTGGAGTTCACACTGGCTCGCTACGTACGTCTGCGTCTCCAGAAAATACGCACATTGAACGCAGAGTTTATGTCATTGTCACCGGGCCTCGATGACGCCTCAGTCACCAGGCGTCTCTTCTACTCCATCAAAGATATCAGCATTGGTGGCCAGTGTGTTTGTTCAGGTCATGCAAGCAAGTGTGTGCAGAATGGCAAGTTTGGAGTGAGTAGATGCAGCGTCCATATTACCTCAGAATAATAAGGTTCTTAAAATAAAATCATCGCTTCATAAACATCCATACAATAGACAATGAGTGCTCTCTCCTGTTGGGCGAAGCAATCGTATCTTGTGAACTTTAATCTAGTCTCTTTATACCTTGATGGTACAGTGCTAAAGCATACGAACATTGAAAACTTTACTTAATTTGGGTTTCTTTCGTGTAAGAAATGGATATGATTTTGAATGTCTTCTAATGTTTAAAGTTTTCTGTATAAATGGGTGATGTCACCCAGAACTAATTCTGATTACTGTTCATTAAGTTGAGATTTAGCATACTGCTGACTTGTAGAATTCATAGATGATAATCTTCGTTGTTTATACAATAATGTACATGTACATGTAGAAGTTGATTTTAATAAGCAAACTTCTTCATAATGATTGGTATAACTAATTTTGTTGTACAGAGTCTAATCATGTAAATAGTCTAACAAAACTGGGGGCTTTCTTTGACAGCGCCGTTTGAATGTTGCACTCATCTGATTTTGGGTGTTGCGACATCAGTTTTGGGGAATGGAACTTTACATTTCTTCGAGTTATAGTTCATTAATATTTTGGAGATTCCTGTCTTAGACAGAAATGTTGATTTATAAGGTATATTAAAATTTCATAAAATGTATTCCAGAACTTGACATCAATGAGTACAATTATAAATGAAGGATTTAGTAATTATAACTTTAAAATTGACATCTTTCTTTTCCCTGTATGCCTGGCTAACCATATTAAAGTACAATTGTTACAATTATTAAAGCAATACATTTGTAGCATGAAAAAACTTAATTCCCATGTTTCTGAATTGCAGAGGCCAGAGTGTGAATGCCAACATAATACTTGTGGTGCCAACTGTGACCACTGTTGTCCACTGTACAATCAGCTTCCATGGCGTGCTGGTACTCCATCTGATGGAGCACAGTGTGAACCGTGTCAGTGCTTTGGACATGCCACCAGCTGCCGTTATGATGCTGCTGTAGCGGCTGCTCGCCTGAGTCAAGATCTATATGGCGAGTATCGTGGTGGAGGTGTCTGCATAAACTGCACTGTAAGTCTCTTGTGACAGAAAAATCATAATTGTGATGTTATGCTTCAAACAACAGATAATTATGTTATGGTTTAATTTTGAAACACCGCCCTGCTGGGAAAAGATCTCTCGGCCGATCTCAGAAGAGATGGACGGAAAATACAAGACCGTAACAGGCCTCTTGGCCTAATACAGGAAAGGATGATGATGATGATGATGGTTTAATTTTTCTTACATGTAATTTGAAATGTGAAGGTTTTATATTTTCTTTGTGAAATTTTGCAAGAGTAGGAACTTATGAAGACTACATAGTTACTGCTGGTGAGGAGGATGATGGATTGAGTGATTCTGTGGTTATTTAATGATACTCTTTTAATTGTTTGTGTTATTTGCATCATATGATGATTTAGTTTTCCATCCTCTGATGTTTTATATATGCTGCATTTTGTATTTTGCATGTGCTAGAGATGGGGCTTTACCTAATGTTTTTACATTATCTTAAGAGAATTGAAATTTAAGTTTCTAATCCTCTGACATTCAGGTTAATTAAAAGAAATCCCAGCCTGTGTTTAATTTTAATCCTTTTCTATAAATACAATGCTGTTTCTATTTAGGTTGCCTTTCCAATAGAACTACATTTTAATATGTATTAAGAAGAATTGAAATTTAAAGAAATTACAAAAATTACATAATGAGAGAAAGATGGTTGTCTTCTGGCTTGTGCTAAATGTTAGTCAACAGAACAAACATGAAATTCTTAGGACAGAGTTTGTACCAAAGAAGTAGACATGAAGGAGAATACAAATTACATTATTGTGGTGTACTGAGTATATAGTGCAGATGATATTTTACATCTTTCCTTGAGGAAAGCTATGTACTTTATATTTTGCCAGTAATTGCTGTTTTCTTTTATTACATAGGCACACACAACAGGCAAAAACTGTGAGCGGTGTGAAGATGGATGGTATCGACCGGTGGGTGTATCCCCACTTGATCCAGAGCCTTGCCGACCCTGTAATTGTGACAACAAGCCTGGTACTACAGGGCGATGTGCCCAGGACAATGATCCTGCAGCCAAGGTACAGAACATAATTTAGGCCAACAGCTTTATTGCTTAAGTATTATAAAAATTGTGATTATTTAGAGCCTACCTTCATATTAATAATAGCAAATGATACTTATGATATTATGGTTTTATATCTTGTATTTGTAGGAGTTAGTCTACTTAGTCGATGTGACCAGACCTACAATGAAAATTGAGATTTTTCCTGCATATAAACAAAATAACATAGTTTGTCTCTGAAAATTGTAGTAATGAAATTAATAGGTTCATTTTTATATTTTAGGCAGCTGGAACTTGTGAATGTCACGTGGGATTTGGGGGTCTACAGTGTGACAGGTGTGCCCCAGGTTTTCGAGATTATCCCAACTGCACGCCGTGTTCGTGTGATGTCCGAGGAATCAACGCTACGATCGACTGCGAAACAAGTTGCACATGTAAGGAGAATGTGGAAGGTGAAAGATGTGATCGCTGCAAGTCAGGCTACTTTGCTCTGAACATAAACAACCCTGGTGGATGCATGCAGTGTTACTGTTCTGGTGTGAGCAGCATTTGTCATTCCAGTACAGACCTGCGTCTTGAGACTGTAAGTCAAGGCACAGACTTTTTTGATACTGTTTACTTTAAAACATATCAACATATACAGAATGGGTAGGAAGTAAGTAGGTATTAAATAATCGCTATACATTGGAAATATAGAGGTTATAACCATTTCTCAATGCCTACTTACTTCCCACCCACCCTGTAGATGTTTCTCACATTATCACTAACTGTTAAATATTGTCTGCAAACACTAGCACTGCCATTTTACTTTTATAACTGCTAAGAATTTCCTGAGTTTGTTCATAATAACATCAAATGTTTACTTTTATCTTATAGGCTCTTTCATTTTGTGTTTCTCAGTTTTCAACATTATCAGGGTGGTTGGTGAGTGACCTGGCAGTAAGCAGAACTGTTCTTCCATCTCTGGACACAGAAACAAAACAGTTGTCTGTCGGTAACTATGAGTTGCCAGGTGTGGAGAGCTATTTTTGGCTGGCACCAGAAAATTACCATGGCAACCTCTTGGCTAGCTATGGATCCAATGTGAGCTTCAGTGTGAGTTGGGTTGTAATGCGTGGAGACACGAGTGGAAGGCCAACAGTTGGACCCAATATTGTTCTTATTGTGAGTACTGAGGAATATCAGCCATGCCTACAGTAACAACCTGAAATGTTGTGCACAAAGACTGCATTATTTGCAGCCTTAAAATAACTAATAGTTCCAGGTATTTTTTAAAGAGTTGATTATTCTGGTGAAGAAATGTTCTGCTTTTATGGAATATGAATGTTCATTATAATATTCACAAAAGCCTGGTACAAAGACCTATCCTTAGCCTGTAGAGTCCAGTCCACACACACCTTATTTTTTTAGATTAATTTGATCTTATCCTTTCATTTGCATCTAGATTTTACCATAATCTGATAAAGAATTTATATCTGATATCAGAAAATATGTTTTGTTAATGTTGTTGGTATTTGGCAGTAACTGTTGCCAATGAGTAACATCAAATCAAGAACTAGAATATGTGTTACTAATGATCACATAAAATAATACATGTAAATTGTAACAGTAATAAAATCTAATATTAAAATATTACTCAAGAAAAGCAGATTTAAAAATCTCACCAGACCAATTTTATTAAATAAAATTATTGAATAATATGTCAATATATTTGCTATAATATACCTCATTTAGTGACATTTTTAATACATTTTCCTCATTTATAACCTTGCAAGTTATTATGGAGTGAATATGACATAGAACTCCTGAGTTGAGAGAATTTCAAACTATCAGAATTAAATTATCTTATTTATTCAGAGCTTATTAAATTTATGTCATCACATTAGTTATCCTTCTATAAAAGTCACTGAGGGAATTATAATTCTATTGCTTTCATCTTATGCACGTCTTTGGAATATTACATGGTAAGTATGAAGCCCAGTCTTTATTAAATATTTGTATTTGAATAATCCTGCACATATCAAACACATTAGTTACAAAATCTATAGCAATTATAACATTTTATAAGACTTTCATAATTATATTTATAAAAATATTATGATTCATATGTTATAAAGGCTGATAATAATGTTGACAAGCCTAAGTATTTTAAACTCTTGGTTATATATTTTATTGAAAATCATTATTCAATAAGCTATTAATATTGCTCCTGATATGTGTATGTAATATTGTTTTTCCCAGGGCAGCAATGGATTGCGGCTTGGTGCAGGAAATCACGCGTATAAGTCTCCTAATGCTACACTCACCATTCCTCTTCATGAGGATGCCTGGTACCATATACCAAATTATGTTAGAGATATCACTGGACATGATTATAATGGTGAACCAGCTAGCAGAGATGATCTGATGAGCATACTTACTCATGTCAAACACCTGCTACTCAGGGCAAAGTTTCATACTGACCAAGTTGAGGGGAGGTAAGATACTATCAACATGTTGAATTAAAAAAATATATAAATTTCTGCACTAATTCTGGCTCTTAAATTTTCCCCATTGTCACCCATCTCTTTACTGTATACATCAGGAGTTCTCAACCTATGGCCTAGGGGCCACTTGCATCCTTCTGGTGTCCTTGTGTGGCCTGCATGCATGTGTATGTTTTCTGTAATATTGCATCATTCTGTATAATGAAGAATAGTTACCAGCTGTGTTAAGTGTTTAATTTTAAGTGAATAATTAATAATGCATTAACTTCATGGAGCAGTGTTATTGTTGAGAAGCCAATAGTATTTTCAGTTAGTCAAGAAATTCCCTACTTTAATGGAACTTAGAGGTTCATTTACTGCATTTACAAGAGCCCACTGCTGGTCCCTTTCCTGGGCCAGACGAATCCAGTCCACACCCTCCAAATCTATTTCTCTAAGACCCACTTTAATGTTATCCTCTCATCTAAGTCTAGGCCTTTTGAGTGGTGTCTTCCTTGCAGGTTTTTCAACTGAAATTTTGTATTCATTTTTGTATGCATTTATCTCCTCCATGTGCATTATATGCCCTGTCTATCTCATCCACTTTGATTTGATGATCCTAATAATGTTTTATGAAGAGTACATATTACATAATTATCTCCAGTCATATGTCATTTTATTGCTGTAGGTTTAGTTGTTATCACAAAACCAACAATTAAATATAGGTTTCATGCAGAAGGCACGTTAAATTGTACAAAAAATGTGCTAATGAAACTTGTCAATTTTTGGTCTTTACTGAAACACCAAAGTTCAGGTTCTGGTGTATCAGAATCTGTAACTGAATCAGTTCAGTTATGTCCCTGAGACTGAAACAATGATTTCTGAAGATTGCTGTTTGTTTTGTTTCCCCAAACAGCCTAATAGACGCTGAGGTACAGACAGCAATAGCTGGAGGGACGGGGTCTGCGGCGCACTTGGTTGAACACTGTGACTGTCCACCTGGCTACACAGGGCTGTCCTGTGAGGAGTGTGGGTATGGCTATGTTCGTGTATGGTCCAGTCTAGGTGAAGGAGAATGCAGACTGTGTGACTGCAATGGGCATGCAGCAACATGTGATCCTGTCACAGGAAAATGTGCTGTAAGTGTCTGGGCTTATAATACAAAGAAATGAACATGAAAAGTAGATTAAACATTCACAAGTTGAGCTTAAATTTAAATTTATAATGTAATATAGTTCTCACACCGAGAAACAGATTTCTTGAAAATCCATGTAATATAAAATATTTGTCTACAGTATGTCCATGAACTTACAATGCAATTTTTATTTTTTAACAATTAATGCTACAAAAAAGCCCATATTGCTACTTTTTGGGTGTACATCTGTTTTCCCAATTCATTCTACATCCAAATGAGAAAATTTGCATTTTCAGCTATGTCTCTGATTTTTTCTGTTTGAACAATCTTGTGTTACCAATTTTTTCTCTTGATACAACTTATTTTGCATACAACAGATGTTATGCCATTTTGATGATTATTTTTAAGATTATTTATTTCTTAAGTTGTTCTCCTCCATTTTATTTCTGAATGACTAAAATCTTTACTGAGAGAACCACTCTGTATTTATTTGCATTGGTTAACTTGTGAGGTCTGTTTCTTAATCCTGTTTTGCTTGATGTTTTGGGAACAAACTAAGATCACCAAGTCATGATTGTCTTTGTATTGTTACATGATATATTATTGGCCAAGACTCTACAACATGACTTTATTACCAAATATGTGATCAAGGAATTAATATTACATTCCAGGTTTGTGAGCATAATACAAATGGCACCAAATGTGATTACTGTATAGCCGGTTACTATGGAGATGCAACGCAAGGTACTCCGTCAGACTGTCAGCAGTGCGCCTGCCCTTTGGTGGAGGCTAGTAACAACTTCAGTCCAAATTGTGAGCTAAAGTTACCAGACAGGGGAACTACTGACCATATCTGTACAGACTGCCCACAGGGATATGATGGAGACCACTGTGAAAGGTACAGAAGTTAATTATGAAGACTTTCATTCTCTTTGCATGGTCACTGAAGGAATCACACAGTGAGGATTCTTTCTGATATTTACTCTCTTCATATTATTAACTCTTTTAAGTCCACATATTTTTATTAGACAGTTCCCTTCTATATCAGTTTATATAAACACAAGACAAAACATACAAGAATTTTTTTTTCTAAATGTTAACATTGTCAGGATCGTCAGACTGAGTCTGACATTGGACCAAAACATATCCAAATATTGAACAAATTCCAAAAGACCTGAAAGAGTTAAGATTTTAAATCAAAGGAGTTATAAAGGATTGGAAAAAGGGTGCAGGAATTATGATTTGGGAAATGTGTACTGAATTTTGGCACATTGAATGAGTAATGAGCAAGTGCATTTTGAGGAAATAAAGAGTTTCTCAAAACAAAAACAGAGATTTATTAGAATATGGTACTAAATAGTTTTCCTTGGGATCATGTCACACATCATAAGTATTTACTGATGCATTTCTTCTTTCTCAGAAGTTAACTGTGTGCAGATAAAACAGACATATCATCTAAGGGAGTAATGTGAATTCCACTCAAATAAGGAAGATGATTCAAAGGATTTTTGACAATCATAAAACCAGTATATAAACAAAAAATGAATCAAGCTTATAAATTTTCTACAAAAATTATCATAATGATATTATAATTATCATTATATTGCTGTGTTCATTGTTTTCTTATGTGTCACACTTCTAAGCAACCAGTTAGTAATAAATATGAAGTGCCTACTGTATGTGTGTTTATATGTAGTTTAAATTTCTCATTTCAGATGTAGCAGTGGATTCTATGGCTCACCTGCAGAACCAGGTTCCACTTGCAAGCGTTGTGACTGTGGAGGCGGACCATGCGATGAACGTACTGGTCAGTGCTTGCGGTGTCGTGGTAATACTCAGGGTTGGAGATGTGAGCAGTGTATTCCAAACCATTATGGCAATCCTTCACAAGCTGACTGCAAACGTAAGTCACGAGAATGAGATGTAAATCATATTTCATTTAATACAGAGAATGACTCTAAAATGAACCAGAGAAAGAAGCTTTTGGTTTTATGCCTTTATTACTGCATTTATGGGCTTTGTGTCATCAGGGTGATGAGTGATGATGGAGGCAGCAAGGACCTCTGAAACGCTCGCAAACGTCTACCAGACTACATGGCGCTACAATCTAAAAGAAAGCCATCTTCATCTTTGATTGTGCATGTACATTAAATTTTTATCAAGACTTGGATCATGTTCTTTTGTTTACTTGGAGTTCTGTAAAAGCTTTTATGTTTATCATACGAATCATTTGATAATTTTTTATGAAACTTCATATCCAGCACTTCTGTTATGCCTCTGTGATGAATGTATGCTTGTTACTGTTGTAGCATGTGCCTGCAATGAATTGGGCTCTGAGCAGAACGGTGGGTGCGATTCTAAGACTGGACAGTGCAAGTGTAGAGAGAGATACACTGGACGAGCATGTGACAGCTGCCAGGTATGAACAGTTTTTTTCTTCCTTTGTGTTTTATTTACAGGATGAATAAAGATTTATTCTTACATGTGTCTGCACACTGTCAACACATACACCCTAATACACAGAAACTTTTGTTTCTCAATCATATTTGTGTTTACCTCTACTCAGTGAGTCGCCCTAGATGGACTAGTGGTTAGCTTGCTCACCACTGGACCCAAGGTTCACGGGTTCAAATGAGGCTGAGGTTGATGGATTTTTAAGGGTGTTATCTGTAATTTGGCAGTAACTGCAGGTATATAATATAATAATGCACCAGAAGAGAAGAAAAGATTAACCACATTTTCATTGTTTTGTATATTACTCAAAACATTTTGCATCATCAGTGAGCTGATACGCAGTTTAAGAAACACTGCTCTCTTGCATTTCTGAAATGGTGTTAAGGAACCAAATACATGAGCATTTCTGTTTTAAATTATTTTAGTCACACATTTTATGTAAATAGAATAGGTTATTACTAGAGTGCCGGCCACAGTGGCCACACGGTCTGAGGCATGGACCTCGTGCGCCTGGCCGCTGGGACCGTGGGTTCGAGTCCCACTCAAGGCATGGATATTTGTCTGCGTCCTTTCTCTTCCAGTCTGATGGATAAAGACTGACCATGGAAGGCAAGCCGAAACCACCGTGGTATCTTCGCAAGTGGCAGCCCCAAAATGGGGTTGCAGACCAATCCTAGGATTGATAACCAAAAAAAAAATTATTAGAATGACCAAATAAAAAAGCTAAATGTGTAAAGCACATGAGTATTAAAAATGTTTAAAAACTTCTAATCTAAAATCCTGTGAGGAATAGATTGCTTCAGAGGCATAGCCAAGGAAGGATCTTAAATAAAGATGGTGCAGTTACATAGACCGAATTTAAGTTTCATTTTACATGTATTTTTTGTATCTTGCAGCCTGGTTTTGGCAATGTAACAGCTGGTTGTGTGGTATGTTCATGTGATTCTGTGGGATCCTTATCAGAAGAATGTGACCCTATCTCTGGGAAATGCAACTGTCAGACTGGGGTTGGAGGTCCGAGGTGTAATAGATGTGAAAAGCTGCACTTTGGATTTTCGTCATCAGGTTGTCAGAGTGAGTACCCACAGTCTGTGGCCATTTTGATCCATAGCATGTGACTTTGCCCTAGTACGAATATGTGTTGAACAGTTATTTGCACGTTTGAATGTTTGATGCGTGTGTGTATGGGATTCTAGCAGGAATTTTCTTGACTAGGTACTTTCTCATGAGTGACGATGCCGTATTCAGTTAACTAATTTCAGAATATGTTGTGAACTAGTAAATTCATTGAAGGAAAGTCATTTTGAATATTCTGTATGAATATATTTATGATGAAGTCAGAATTTAATTAAGTATTATGCATATAAAATAAGCAAACAAACAAACAAACTATTAACACTATAAAGAAGATACTAGTGCCATACGCATTTCAACCTCAAGAGGTCATCATCAGTGGCAACAGGGAAATTAATTCACTGAATCAAAATGGTTTAAAATTATCATTCTGCCTCCGTCATCAGGGCGATGAATATGCCAATAGCCAAACAACCAACCAAAAAGCTAACTAAGGGCGGAGGCCTGCGCTAGCACAAGCACCGTCCCTTCCTAGGTCAAACCATTCCTGTGCACAAGGCGCATTGCTGGAAATGGTAAACGATCTTAGTGTAAAAAACGGAAATTTTGCTATCGCTAACGGGGTTACGTAGTGGCGGCAGCCTCGACCATTCAAACTGGGATCTGTTGCTGCTGATGAGTGGTTATCCCGTCAGGCAAGTTGTCCAAAAGAATTTGGTTGGATGGATCTCTGGGGTTTGAACCCAGAGACGGAGGGGCCGTTTCGACTGAAGGCCTCTGCGGCATGGCGGGAAGATCACTTCAGCTGATGGCCTCCATGATCGAGGGGGGTTGTGGGCCGTGCCCCTATTGAGTTATACCCTGGCATTCGCCTTACAACTGAGGAAAAGCACGGAATGCCAGTTATCGAATGTGTAGAGTATATATATATATATATATATATAAGCTCGAAGTCAGGGTGGCCAACTATTGAAAATTTACTTTTTACACTACAGTAAGTATCAAAAGTTTGAGGGCCAAATTACAGAAACAAGTAAGGATCTGTATCTCTTCAATGATTGCAGGTGCTATAAGGATCTGGTTATTATGAAAAATTTCCATATGACACCAACAAAATATTTACTTTTAAACTTGGGGTTACATGACTTTAGAACAACTGTATAATTTTATCCCAGTTTAAAGGACTTCTTTTTGATAAGACAGTCTGTGCAGAATTTTTAGTTAATCTAAAATCCTTACTAATAAATTTCATATTTGGAGAACATAAGTAAACAGGAATTTGTTACATAACTGACCAAGGATGTAGTACTTCATAAAACAAAAAAAGGATTTTCCATGCAGCGAGAACTACTATGCAGTCATCTGCGTTTATACACTTTGTTTTGTCACGTTTAGAACTGGTATACACCTATTTCATAATCCTTTGTAGTCACATAAAAGAAATGTTTTCGTGGTTAGATAAAGGTTATTTATTGCTAATTGTGATAATAAATGTGAGGTAGCCTGTTCATTAAAATAGCAGTGTAGATCATGTTATTGTTCTACGTGGAAGACTAAGACATTATGAGAATATTCCATTAGAATGAGGCTTTGTTTTGATAGCAGTAGTGATGGTAGGATGGATGGGGTACAGCCGTAAGTGGATAGAGTCGTCAGAGCCACTCGGTTTTATCTCATGCACTTTGATATTACGTTCTGGGACGAGTGAAATGGAGTAGTCGGACTGTACAAGGAGTTAGTTTCATCTCGATGGCTCTGCATGCTGTAAATTAGGGCTTGGATGGAAAGACACGTGCTGAGAGTAGCTCCGAGGTGGGGAGTTAAGGAAATTTAAGGCTTAATTAGATCTGCCAGTTGTGTCCATAATACGGTTTAGCAGAACAAAATGTGCAATCTCTCATGATACCTGTGAAAGTATTGCTTTTGCTTTTATCTTGTTTCTGTTGTTTTGATTTTGATTTATTTCATTCAATATAGTCAGTCAATTCTTTGAGGTAAAAAAGTTACTTGTGCCGACATGAAACGGACGAAGGACTGGGGGAAACAACTGGTTATGTTGCAACCCATTAGGTAAAGTTATCTTTATTGCAGTGGCAGCTCTTAGAACAATGTGTTTTGCATGTCTGGGCACTTGAATATTCAGTTGGCTGTTGTAAAGCAAATTTAGGCTGGACCACTTAAATTGCCTGAAGATTTGGAGACCTAAGTCTGTTTTTAATGTCAATGTTAGAATTATTGGCCATCAACCGACAACTGTAATAGTTGTGTACGTTTCAACGTTTTCAGTAAACACGTCGGTTTCTTTCGTATGAAATGCAGACTAATTGGTTTGATACCACTCATGTCATGGATAGGAAATATAATTTCAGAATGATTATTATATATTTCAGACGATTTTTACGAAATTTAGTATAAACATCATGCCACTTTAAGTTAAAGTACTCTTATAATGAGAGAAATAAGAACTGTATAAAACGTGTCGAATCCTCCGTGATGACGTCATCTGACAGGTGCCAGGCACCAGAGGACGCTCTGACGTCATTGGTGTAATTCTACAGGCCACACCAGAATTGTTACGCGATGCAATTATTTACTTTCTTGTATCTTTTAACTACGTTCCTATCGGTCGTGATGGCTGCCGAGCCTCGTAGACTGTAAGCTGCTCTCGTCTCTAGTTACGACAGAGTTCTGATTAATTTTAGAAATTTTCCGTGTTTAAATTTAGGTACCCCACCCCCAATAGCCGTATTACAGGAGTTTGCCTTGGATGTTAATAAGATAGTAGCTGGGTAATAATTAGTCGGTGTGCTTAAACTTTCCGAGTATAAGTAATTAATTTAAAGTACCAGGTTCTCTGCGGTTTGTATGTGAAGAAACGATGTTGGCCATGTATTGCCCAAGGTCACTAGTCAGTGCCACTCCTTACTTATCTTGGCCTGAACTCCACCCTGGATTAAACTAAAAGGAAGTCGTAATTTATGACGAAAGTTAATGGCTCTGGTGGTTTTAAATTTCTTCGTCGGTAATTTAAAATTTAAATTCCTAATTGATGGACACGCTTATTATACCGGATTTATGTAACTATATTTACTACCAGTACGTTCATAAAACTTATGTAATACTGCGAGGTTGTCATGAAATAATGTCGGTGTTTCAGATTGAAATATTTATTAAAAGATCTACAGGAAATTAGGCCCAATCTAGCGTTGTTCGTGACGATAACAAGAGACGGCTTTAATCACTGACATACGTATCATCAATGATGGAATGAATCTCTAAAGAGAATCCCGAAAAATACTCCAGCCAAAACCCACAATGGTTTCTGAAATGTTACAATTTAACTATGTTTTAACCCTTTAAAGCCCAGTGGTAACAATATATACCACCTACGTTGATGGTAATTACCGCTGGATTTTACTGTTAGTTTGCAGTACCATGGACGTTATTGTTGAACAGCGTTTGGAATCTTTCATAACATTATCTTGTTTTTAAAACGCCTTTTTTCAATTAACCAGCGTTTGTAACGCAGATTGGTGGGTGGAGTCTAGTTATAAAGGGCGTCTCCCGAACATCTTACGCATTAAACGTATGTGACATACGGCGTACACGCATATAATTTTCAGTGTGCCAGTATTTAAAATGGGCTCTAACAAATTGCACAAAAATGGGATTTTGTATTTCTCGTGACGTGGGAAGTGGGGCGAGGAGAAACGTATTCCAAATTTTAGTCGGAAAATCTGAATAGACAACTTGGAAGACCAAAGCATAGATGGTGGGATATTTTTAAAATTGATGTTAAAGAAATAGGTTGTAAAAGTATGGATTAGGCTAATAAGATTCAGAATAGGCACTAGTATCAGGCTGTTTTGAACTCGAGAATGATCCTTCGGCTTTCGTAAAAAAATGTCGGTGTGTATCTTGGCTAGTTCAGCGATATTAACTTCCGAAGAAAGAATCAACTTCATGGAGTTAATTTATTAGATTATATCATCATTGTTATTAGATTGTTAAGCTTGTTTTTTTAACGGCGGTTAATTATTTTTCTTGCCGATAGACTCTGTACCAAAGAAACGCTGATGGAATTCGAGCCATCTGCATTAAAAAACAAGTTGGATAGTAAGTTGAAGCCTCGATTATGTCGCGAACGGACGATGTTTCGATAAAATGCAAATAATGTGCGTTAATACGCTTCTGTATTTGGATATGCAATGGTTTCGTGCCGACTTTGCAGATCGTAATTTATAGTCTTGTCTTGTCTTGTCTGCTTGTTCCCATTAGTAGGCACAATGGGCCGTGTGAGGTCAGTCACTTGTTGTAACTACGTTTTTGACAAATGAAGGGGAATTATTTTGAAGAACTGCTTTTCTCATTTCGAATTCTGAAAGTGTGACGTAATTCATTATTAAAATTAAGTAGCCTACGCCTAATGGGTCCACTGAATTAAAGCTCTTTTTTCTCTGGTAGAAAATTTTAACAAAATATTTCTCTAATGATTAAATGGAATCGGGACGTAACACTGACCATTCCCATCTAGCGCCGAGCTCAAAAACGAGTAGGAGCTATCCAAATCTCCCCTTGAATGCCTCAATGGCGTGCAGCGGGACAGTTTTACTGAACTTCTCAAAGTAGATGTCAGTTTTGTGTTACTTGACACAAAATTATCACCTTCAGCAGAAAAGCATGTCTCCGTAACAGATGTAACATCGGTTGACATGCCATTGCCTGAAACCGAGTGTGTTATTACCACAAAATAACAAATTTTGTAGATCGCAGTGCTGAATTGTCTTGCTCTCTCGTTCTCCTCCCGTATCCTTTTGGCGGTGCGTCTCTTGCTATAAAGATTCGTTAATTGTCAACGTTCTTTGAAAGTACGTGAGACAACGCAAATATTTCGCTTTTTAGTCATGTCGTCAGCGGCCGAAGCCCCACTATAAAACAGGTAACTTACTGTATTGTGAGACAGGTTAATGTAAAGAAAAAGGGGCCGGCCTTTGAAGTCT